ATAAAGAGCCGTTTCTTGAGTTATACCCACTTTCTACCTTGACCCGTGACCTCACAACTTCATCCCATAAGACATTTCTGCGGCCAATGAGGAAGGACATTAAGATGTGGGTATCGAAAGTGGGTCACAGAAAGCACCCCTACCGCCACTACTTTGGTCGTTAACACTTCGTACAAAGTCACCCTGATCATCACACAGTTTATACTATATTTTAAGTAGATACATAGTGATTTCTTAAAACTTATACAAAATGTTTGTGATGTAGTAATGAATACTATAATAATATGTTATGTTATAAATAACTTGTGTGAAAGTTGGGATTTTTATCATAGCATACACCCTCACATGTTTTTAAGGTCATAACCCGGACAAAGAATGGGTACCTCAGCTTGTAATTATATAAATCATACAGCGGTGCTCAAAATTACGTACATAAAAACTGTATAATCAGCACATTTGATAATACTATACTCAGATATTTAGTTTCAGTGAATGAGAACAGAAAGTTTTATATATTTCAGACGCTATTATTTTTAATGTAGTTTTGTACATAAGAAACTTCTCATTGGTAGTAAAGAAATTTTAAAATAAATATATATACGACTTATTTTTTAAATGAACCTTGTTTATTTTTTTTACTTATCCAGAAATACGCAGTTGCAAACAATAGAACACAGCAAAGTATAGCGTAGAAAATATGGGAAATTTTGAATCTAGATATATCAGTAATATCAATAAATTTGTGTTTAACCGTTTTACCTTTAAAGAAACTGTACACAGTATTACAAAGCCCTTAAATTTAGTGGTATTTACTTACACGGTGCATGCCAATTTATCCATGCTATTCGCAAGTAAGATGTAGTCGGTACATATGAGATTGTGACCCCAATGGGGGCCACTAATGTTTTCGTTCATTATCTTTTTAAGTTTCAAAAGTCATTTATGGGGAGATTTTATTTTAAAAGTAAAATGTAATGAAATTTATCATTGCATTAAGAATTTTACAATTGGCAATCGCTTACCTTTAAAGTTAAAAAAAGTTGCTTTAAAAAGAAAACTTTAAACGATATTTAGAAATGCTTATTTGTAAATAACTACTTCACCTTAACACAATTTTAACTGTTATGCGAGATGTGTAATTTACGCTAAGAATTAATCTACAATGGATGACAAGTGGTTTTTAAAAACTCATATAGAGTGTTTGCCTTACTTTGCAAACTCTCAAGCTAACAACATAAGTTTCTTCTAAAACTGTTACAAAAATCTAAATCGAAAAACAACGAAATAATCAAAAACATTGAAACTTCACCAAATGTAATATTATTTTCCCATATATATAATTACCTTTTTACTTTATATATATATTATATTATGTGCAATAAACGTATAATATTTTGACATCAATACTATTAATTACAAGAAAAAACAAACCCCAGATATACACAAGGTTATACCCATTATTTATTTACACATGCCAACTAAAAACCAAAACGTTTTCGCTCAATTCACCGATATCACCTGGTGTTAAGTGCTTGATGAAGTGATTAGGCTAAAACTGAATCTGTACATGTGATTCTACTATATGTGTTTCATTAAGAAGTGACATGTAGTAAATAAAATATTCAATGAAACGTCTTAAAAATAAGAACCTCACATTAGTATATGACACTTACACAGTTCACTAGAATATTTCATATAAATAAGTGTACAAATGGATAAAATACCTTGAAAAGCAACGAAATATTTTGAATAGTAATAACGCATGACTAATATTCGTGGACTTTCTGGAAAATGGTAATCAGATTTCGTGACAGGTTTTAGGATATGTAAACGTATGTAAGCATGTTAATAATCTAAAATAAAAACAGAATTTCGAATATTGTTCTAAACTCGGTTAGTAATATCTCCCACTCTCTCCTCTACTTCGAACACCCTCTCTGACACTTGTTGGGAGAGGCTTTAGATGTTGTTCCCTCTTTTAAATTTAACCCTGAAGATTGTATCTCAATATCTTCTGTTGCAGACATGGCACTACAAAAGAAGAAAGAAAAAAGCATTTCAAAATGCAAATATTTTTATATATTAACGTTTTCTGACACTAAGAAAAATAGCTTGATTGAATGAATTTTTTTACCAGGATAATATATTTTAATCTGCAGCTTCTTGTTACCAACACAATTTTTAAGTACTTACGTACTTGGGTAATTATTGGAGGCTGTTATATAGTTATTTAGTTACTGAGAGTTGCGTAAAATGTTATCCATGTAAAATGATGGGCGAACACTTAAGTTTCCGGAAACAGGAACTATACAATGATAGGTTTGAGTCTTCTACCGGAAGTCTTCTATTTTTAAATTCATATAAAAAATACCCTAAGGAAACTCAATAATATTAGCACTTCCTCTATCAGGAGTGAGCCTAATACTGAGAACGGAAATACCCACATTTATTCGTGTTTAACAAGTCTTACTATATGAAATTTGTGATTTCAGAGTTGATAATTATTTCCAACATTTCAGACGTTGCAGTTTAGATTCACAGATTAACAGGTGTATTCTTAAAATGCAAGGTATAACAAGATATTTATAACTAATGACTAGCAAAATCAAACACATTCATAATAAAGAAAAAAAAAGCAAGTAAGATATCCATGGTTGATTGTTTAGTAAAAATATATTTTGAAGATAAAATAAATATTTAAACCCAAACAATGACAAATAAAAATGCACAATGTCGTTACAAAGAAAACAAAACTCACCGAATCAGAACAACCACTGATTCCAGCACGTTACGTCCTGTTTTTGCACTAACTTCTATGAACAGCGCTCCAAATTCCTGGAAAGAAGATACACATGCTATAGATATACATGTATTCGGGGTGTCTACAAACGACTGTACACATTTTAAGGTGTAATATCCTTTAAACCAAGAAAGATAAAAACGTGTGGTAATGTTCATGTTTGTTTGTTCTTCATCAGGTGTCTTAGCCAATAGTCATATACATTAACAAAAGCATATCCGGCATCAACTCAATCGGTTGCTCCCTTGAAAAAATTTTGAGAGCGGCAAGTGTAGCTGAATCTGTGGTGTAAAGTATAGATTTTTTTGTATCCTCATGAGCATGCAGGATAGCATGAACGTGATTGGTTAATCCTTTATTGTTGTTTTTTGAGCTAACTGTGCTACTAAAATGTTTTGTGTCTTTGTGTAGAAGGAATGAAATACAGCAGAGTTAAGACGCTATTTGTGAGATATTCTCTGAGAACGTAGCGTGAAAGACAAATTACTGTGCCTCTCGAGGAACTTTTCAGTATAACTCACAGTCTAATTTCACTATAAATTTTAATTTACCTTCGTCTTAAAGTTTTTCACCTTCCAGATCTTCATTTATTCAACTTTTTATTTTATCGTTTAAATAAAATGTGTTTATTTTATTCGTTTGGTCTCATCAGATGCTAAATAACCTGACACACAAACTTTCTCCAGGATCCAGGATCACTCGGTTAGTGAGCAGTTACCTATCGTAAGTATCTAGTTAATTATGTGGTCAGATTACAACAGAAAAAGGATCATAGTTCTTCATCAATAGTGTTTGATCCAAGCAAGCTACCGACATAGATCAATACTAGAAATTATCCCAATAATTAAAATGGCTAATTTAATATATCGTTCTTACTAGGAGTATTCAAATTCGTTAAACAAAAGCATGCAGAGTACAGAGATTGGTCAGTTGAGTACCCTCTCTATTAACAATATCTTCGACGGTAATCCCAATAATATATCATGACGTTCAGACAGCTTAGACTATTAAGATTAGTCCTAAGACTAAAATGCATAATCTAAATTTACAATGCAAAATAATCACACTAATGAATAATATATAATAAAATATGTAAATAGTTTTATCAGTAATGTTAATGAAACTAACATAAAGAGTAAAATTTACTCACAACTAGTGGTTTGTTTCATGAACTATCACTGATTTCCTATCCTTTGAAAAGCGTGACACTCGTATACCTTACACAGTTCTCTATAATAATGTCTACAGACCAGTTTGTTGTGATGCAGTAGAACTAACGTTAGTTTCTGGTGAATATTACACATTTATTTGTTTTGAATGTTGCGTGCAAAACAAATCGGGGGCTATCTGCGCTAACCGTCCCTAATTTAGCAGTGACAGACTAGAGGGAAGCCAGCAAGTAAACATCATCCACCACCAACTCTTGAGCAACTCTGTTACCAACGAATAATGAGATTGACCGTCACCTTTTAACGCCCCCACGGCTGAAAGGGCGAGCATGATTGGTGTGACGAGTACAAGTATTATAATTTATACTTACAGTACTTTATACTTTGTGTACATATACATCATGTTAGCGTTATTTTAATTTCTGGCTAATTATGAGTAAAAATTCACATTCTTGGAAGTAAAAAAAAACAACGTATAATATTTAAGTTATGCATAATATACATTTACATTAATGTTTGGTTTTTAGCGCAAAGTTACACAATACGCAAAATGCGCTGTGTACTTATCATGAACAGAGCAAAAACAAGAAAAGATAGTTAGATAGGTAATCAGGCTCTACTTAAATTCCGACATCTATCTAATTTTTCTGTAAAGTTTTTATTTTCTTAAACACACCACATAGCCCATACTTTGGCAAGTTTTTCTCCGACTTCCGTGCTGACACACTGTCGATTTTCTGCTCGAGCCGTTTCACGTCGATCGGTTTTGTTTGCCATAATCATAACTGGTACTTGTCGTGTCGTTACGTCCTGGAAAAGTTTCAGAAAAGAGCAAGAAAAACCTGAGCAAACTCAAAATAAAATGGACAAACAACCGTACACTATTTTAAATATTTTGTTTTCTTGAATTTAGTTTTTGAAACAATTCGAACCTTCTGGAAGTTAACAAACGTTCTGCTCAACCCCTGAAGACCCTGTCGACTGTGAGATTTCGAAGTAATCTTAGTATCTACTTCCGCACATTTAACCTACATTTTAGTATGGTATTGACAGTTAATAAGCAAACACGGGGAAATTTTAAATTTCTAAGGTGGAACAAACTCTATCAAAACATCACGCATCTGGTAAAATAACTCCATAAGGACAAATACAGTCAACTTAGATACAATTAATCTGATAAATTAATACAACATATTAACAAAATTCAAGGCGTCTAAAAGAAAAAAAGGTAAAATGTTTGCATCACTATCTTACCAAAAGAAATTAATGACAAATAGCAGCGGGATTATTGCATTAGTGTCATCATATTGGCAAGGTGTTGACACAAAGGTTTTGGGTAGATTTGTAAATAAGAAAGTCGACCAACACCCATCATAAGTAACGCAATATCTAAGTAGGGATAGACTCAGATTATCTCTAGGTTGAGTTCAAAGGTCAAGGCCATTATGAAATACCTTTTACCATCCACCCACAATTGCGTTTGAATATCTTATAAACAATTAAAACGGGTAACGACCATTTTTAGGCCACTGGATTATTGTACAGAGTGTTTCCGAAGTTGGTGGGAGTTTTTAGTTTTCATAGTTTGTGTCTGTTACTGATTTAAGTTATTTTGCGTCAGTTCTGATGAATTGTAAGCACTAAATGAATATCATATCTAATTATATGAAGTATGAGTGCTATTGTCATAAACGTATAGGTGTAAAATAAGATGATATGAAATATTTTCAGATTTTGTGGATGAAAAAATTAATTAGAAAAATGCAACAGGAAATATGTTGAATTAAACGCTGATAAATATTAGCAAACACACATGTGGTATTTTAAACAAACTAGTTGATTAAACACGTAGTATGTTAAATAAATAACTTTATTACATACATGTGGTATTTTAAACAAACTAGTTGATTAAACACGTAGTATGCTAAATAAATAACTTTATTACATACATGTGGTATTTTAAACAAACTGGTTGATTAAACACGTAGTATGTTAAATAAATAACTTTATTACATACATGTGATATTTTAAATTAATAACTTGATTACACACATGTAGTATTTTATACAAACAACTTCATTCCACACATGTGGTATTTTAAATATAACTTATTTGTTTGTTTGTAGTTAATCACAAAGCTACACAATGGGATATGTGTGCTCTGCTCATCACAGGTATCAAAACCCGGTTTCTAGCGTTATAGACATACCGCTGTGCCACTGGGGGGTTAAATAGCTTGATTACACACATGTGGTATTTTCCAATAAATAACTTGATTCCACACACGTGATATTTTTAAACAAACAACTCGATTCCACAGAAGGTATTTTAAACAATCATATCATCGATTCATGCTGAAAAACAAATTTGTAAGAGTGGTACAGATATTGGCACCTGATAATTTATAATACGGGGATTAAATGAAGAAGAAGCCACTTACTCCAACAGCTTCCATCCACTGGCGTACATTTAAGAAAGAATGTTCACTGGTGCAGTCATAAACCAACATTATGCCATCGGCTTTACGGAAATAAGACTGAGTCATACTGCGGAACCTGTAAGAACAAAACCAAGAGAGAGATTGTGTAACCCCCAGAAATAAAAAAGAAAGTTATCTGATGCAAATAGGCTAGAAATTTTGGAATTAATAATTAACCTTTTATAAAGATTTCTTTTTGTATTGACTTAAGTAAAAATCGTGCGCCATCTACACCAACACGGTGTATTGTTTAGCTTTGGTTAATCTTACCACAAACGAACACTTCAGTGGTATCACTATTACAGGACCCGCGAGTTAATAGCGGGTCTCAGTTCAATGGAAAAGAAAATTTCAATATTACTTCTATCACAAGTAAATTTTACAATAATGCAAGGTTCTCTTTTTCACCTTGGGAAATTTTTGGATAAAATGATGTATCGTGATTTTTTTCTATGTTCTACAAAACAAACACAATCTCACAAAAACAATACAAAACTATGAAAGTCAGTTCAGACTTATCATGCCATATCACATAGTACCATAGACATTTATAATCTACGGAGCATAAACAGATTTTCCTTATCGTGTCCCTCCGCAACATGGAATATTGACAGTAGGAAGATGTAAAAAGGAATTTACAGATTACATTCGCTTCGATGTGTTCTACAAAAACATGAAATACGAACACGAGCTTACAGAAGGCAAAGCCTGCCTTTCTTCTTTTGCGGTGACCGTGAGCAACATAAAATATTTACAGTCACAAGCTTTAATGCGGAAAATATACCTAACCTTTCTTGTCCTGCGGTGTCCCTACAAACATGAAACATTTATAATCATGAGCTGTAAGAAGTAATGTGTAGACTTACCTTTCTTGTCCTGCTGTTTCCCTACAAACACGAAACATTTATAATCATGAGCTGTAAGAAGTAATGTGTAGACTTACCTTTCTTGTCCTGCGGTGTCCCTACAAACATGAAACATTTATAATCATGAGCTGTAAGAAGTAATGTGTAGACTTACCTTTCTTGTCCTGCTGTTTTCCTACCAACACGAAACATTTATAATCATGAGCTGTAAGATGTAACGTGTAGATTTACCTTTCTTATCCTGCTGTTTCCCCACAAACAAGAAACATTTATAATCATGAGCTGTAAGAAGTAATGTGTAGACTTACCTTTCTTGTCCTCCTGTTTCCCTACAAACACGAAACATTTATAACCATGAGCTGTAAGAAGTAATGTGTAGACTTGCCTTTCTTGTCCTGCTGTGTCCCACAATTGTACTGCTATATTTCTGTCGTCTACTCTCAGGGATTTCATTTGAAAATCTACACCTGTAACGAAACAAGTACCTTAAGAATTATACCAATTCCAAATTTTATGTTGTAATAAGTTTTACCTAAATGGATTATTTCTATCAGTTCGAAATATCATCTCCAAACTAACGCACATGCGAAATCTTTACACAAAATCTTTGTTTATCACGTGATATTTCTCTCAAATAAAATCCGATGAATATTCTCTTTTTTAACTATGCATAATTTCATATTTTGTTAATTTTGTGCATAATACTTTAGAAAAGAACGTTAGAGAAAACCTAAAACATGCTTTGCAAACATAAAGTTTTTAATTATCTATAGTGTTATATATTTATTTTATTATATTTGTATAAATGCTCCTCTGATAATGAAGAAAACTTCTTTTCAAACAGATGTTTTGTCGAAACCAAACACTCAACTAATGTAGTTCTATAAAATTAAACTTAGTATTTTTTTATTTATTTGGTTCTTTTTCTATTTGTTTCAATATATTCATGAAAATCCATATAAACATCCCCCCCCAGTGGCACAGCGGTATGTCTGCGGACTTACAACGCTAGAAACCGGGTTTCGATAACCGTGGTGGGCAGAGCACAGATAGCTCATTGTGTATTTTGTGCATAACTTCAAACAAACTAACAAATATATAAACCTTGATCTTGGTTGTAAAATAAAGTACGTTTGTTTGTTTTTGTGTAAAGCTAACAATGAGTTATTTGCGTTGTATCCGCCGTGGGGATTGAGCTCGAATTATATAACGTTTTAAGCTATCAAGCTTACGACCAAACCACCGAATGGGAGAGAGGAGATTAGAAAGGTGAGTAATTATTGTTTTTGGTGTTGTTTTTTTTTGTAGTAAAAGCTTTGGAGTGTTTTGTTTTTCATAGTTCTTTTCGATCTTCTATTTTGTTTCTGAAAATTCGAAACATTATACATGTATGTATACCTCAAACGTTAATGATTTTATTAATAAACATGTGTAAAACAAAACAGTAACAATGTTAATTGGTCCAACTTTAACCAAAATTTAAACAATGCAAAAAAAAATAACTGCTTTGTAAGAAATATATAAATCCTCACAAACTTAATCACAAAACGCAAACTATCTGTACGCTGACAAACAGCTAAAAAATCTAACCAAACTGTCAAACTATCTGTACGCTGACAAACAGCTAAAAAATTAACCAAACTGTCAAACTATCTGTACGTTGACAAACAACTAACAAATCTAACCAAACTGTCAAACTATCTGTACGCTGACAAACAGCTAAAAAATCTAACCAAACTGTCAAACTATCTGTACGCTGACAAACAGCTAAAAAATCTAACCAAACTGTCAAACTATCTGTACGTTGACAAACAACTAAAAAGTAATCAAACTGTCTGCTAAATAAACTGCACTAAAAATCTTTCTAGATCTAAAACATTATTTGAACAAAAATCTGCGTATGTGCTTGTGTCCGATTACAACTGGCGAACCGCTGGACTAATTCTCACCAAACTGGAATATACCGTTAGAGCTCTCCATAAAATGGCAGGGGGTGGGGCAGGGTAGGCTTTCGGATCTGACCCACCATGCCATCCTCTGAATCCCCTATGTCTTTCCAGTGGGTTGGACGGATACTTCAGCTAGACTGAGCTAGTATCCAATATAATAACCGCGTTGATTTTCTGAGCTACACTTACGAATTAGAAATAAAACAGCAAGAGACATGATATTTCCTTATCCCGAGTCATAATAAATTTATAATAAACAAACCTAGCGTTGATGTGAGGTTTCCCATAAAAACTCCCTTGCTAAGTCTAACGATCAACGAAGACTTCCCTACAGCAGCGTCCCCAACGAAGATTACTTTGTACGTTCTTTCTGGAGGACCCGTGGGTTCGAAACTAACACTTTCATTTTTAACTCGATCTATCTCCTCCAATTCTTTCGATTTCTGTTGTTGATGGCCCTCATCTTGCACAGGAGCAGCCTGTTCTTTATGAATGTCAGGCTCCTCCACATCAGGATCCACGAGTTCATTATTAACGTCAGACTTGTTGGCAATATCTGTCTCTTGTAGCTTGGAGCGAACTCGCATTGGAGGACAAGGAGGGAGTTTTCTAGGTTGTGCAGAGTTTTTCTCTAATGAAATGCGAGGTGTAGGCACAGGGGTACCGTCAACGGACGACACAGGAGTTGATGACTTAGATAATCGTGGCCTGGGGAAGCTGAAGAATAAAATAGTGTCACCATTCAATAAATATTACATTAGTTACAACAAATAATTTAAATATTTTCTAGGTACAAAGACAAATTATAAGCTTATTCACTTTTAAATACATTTCAGGTGCCGAAGAAATTAGATTAGACTAACCTTTCTAGATAAAGACCATATCACTACACAACCCCCTCCCCATGATATTCTATTGATCTTAACCAAAGTTGACATGCACCCTTATGGCCCCTAGGGTAGTGACATGAGGGGGTGGTCAGCGATTGTATCTGACCCCCTTTCATGTCTTCCCTGTGCGTTGGACAGGTATGTTGAAGGATGAGGATGGAGTTTTCTCACAAAATAATTCAGATCCGTTTGTAAAGTAGAAGTACCTCCACACAACCAGCATCACTCAAAACCTTAATATCATAAGCAAATTTAAATAATTTAATGAAAATTCTTTCATCAGTTTCATTGATGAAAATCAAAAAGAGCGAAGGTCCTAACACTGAATCTTGAGACACCCCCACATGTGACATTAATACAGTTTGACTAAACTCCATTTATAGCAATCTTCTTCTTTACAAATTGTGCAAACATGGCTAGGTTTCTCGGGAGTACTTTCAGTCAGATAACATTATAGACTATCCACACAAACCGCAGCAACTTTCTCCTTGAAAGAAACATTCAGCCATACAAACAAAATGCACAAACATATGGTACTAAAAGTTATCCATACGTACAAATGTTAATTTGACTTCTGAAGACATTTTCTTCACTATAACATTCGAAGGCATTTATACAAACACTAACCAGACTTCTAATGTTTTTCTTTCTTAAGTAGGGATGATTATAAAGAAATCCTGTACTTAAAATTATTATATCTTATAAACTATTCGTTGTAGGAGAACAAAATGTCACCATAGATACATTGAAAATTATAAGTTTCATTCAGGAAAATTTGGGCATACTACAACTGCTTTTATGTTTATTTTCTCTCTGTTTTGACGATATGATATTGGTGATTTGAATATAATACGTGTCAGTTTGCAGAACTGTGACAAGGTTCAGTGAACCTCTCTAGTAGCAGATGATGTTTTCAGTAATATATTTAGCGATTGGCTTAATATATCCAATGAAAATAACGGAAAATACAATTAAGCCTTCTCTGCCAGTTTTGGAAACACGTTATACCATGTCCTAGTTTGCCATAATAAAAGCTATAAGTAGTTTTTAATATATATTCATTTTAATTCATTGCTTTTTTCCTTATAATTATTATGTAACAATCAAAACTATTAATACAAACTGCACAAACATTATCCAGACAACCAAAACTATTCTTCCGATATTCGTAAACAATATGTTTTTCTTGTGAACTTTAAAACTGTCTATATCCGGGAAAAGTTTCCATAAAGCTGCTTTAAACGTTTCCCACTCAATAATAAATCAACAGTAAACTTTGGTCTGACTTTTGGAAAATATTTTATCCAGGCAACATTTAACGTTATGCACAAATTATGCGTGTACACATGAGCTGATTTCGAGTGAAGCATTTCCCAGTTGACGTCGCAACTTTAGCCACATAAATATAAAAGTAGTACTGAACTCTGAGCAACATATTTCCCAATTCAAACTCAAGATGTTATTCTGTTATAATAAATGACAAATGTATCAAAACACCCACTTGGCTATCTCAGGATCCAACCCTAGTTGCCGTTTTATTTCTGTAATACGACGAGATGAGAAATCTACTTCTGATTGGGTATCTGTACTGCTGCACCTCATTGGCTGATTCTTTTCAAAAATATCGCTCTGAAATATTTATGAGTAAATTTACTTCCTTGGTGAATGGTAGTATTAAATAAAAATATTCTAACTATAATCAATGTACGAGGCTATTAGTGTAAGGCTGGTAATGCTATTATATATAGAAATATTCTAGTTAGAATAAATGTATGAGGCTATTACTATTAGTGTAAGGCTGGTAATGCTATTATATATAGAAATATTCTAACTATAATCAATGTACGAGGCTATTAGTGCAAGGCTGGTAATGCTATTATATATAGAAATATTCTAGTTAGAATAAATGTATGAGGCTATTACTATTAGTGTAAGGCTGGTAATGCTATTATATATAGAAATATTCTAGTTAGAATAAATGTATGAGGCTATTACTATTAGTGTAAGGCTGGTAATGCTATTATATATAGAAATATTCTAACTATAATCAATGTACGAGGCTATTAGTGTAAGGCTGGTAATGCTATTATATATAGAAATATTCTAACTATATTCAATGTACGAGGCTATTAGTGTAAGGCTGGTAATGGTATTACATAGAAATATTCTAGTTAGAATCAATGTATGAGACTAGGAATGTAAGACTGATAATTATATTACATAGTAAAACATGTTACCTATATTTTAGTATCAAAGTGTAACATAGTCTGACATTTTGTCTTAGTTTTGTATCATTACCTTTGCTTTAGTATCAAACTGTAGCATAGTCTGACAGTTTGTGTTAGTTTTGTATAATCACCTAAATGTTAGTATCAAAATGTAGCATAATCTGTGTTAGTTTTGTATAATCACCTAAATGTTAGTATCAAAATGTAGCATAATCTGTGTTAGTTTTGTATAATCACCTTTATTTTAGTATCAAACTGTAGCATAGTCTGTGTTCTGTTACTATATTCCTATAAATACAAGGTTACTGTCTATACTTTAGCTATATTTCTATAAATACGAAGTGGCCTTATTTATTGTTACTGTCTTTTTTTTTATATTCAACTACCGTCTATAATTTGGATGACCATCTTTGCTGTTACTATCTTTCTATAAATACAAGGATACTGTCTATACTTTAGCTATATTTCTATAAATACGAAGTGGCCTTATTTATTGTTACTGTCTTTTTTTTATATTC